GCAGGGGGCTCGTCTTCCAGGTTCCGATGGGAGATGCAAAGGCCTTGACTACTGCCAACTTGCTCAATATCTCCTCGACTGGTTCGGTTGTGGATGTAGCTTCCACTCCTAAGGGCCTTTTCCTCACAAGCAGCAGTCTTGTGGAAAGCAGTTTATACTCATTAGTGGAAGCTAAACATCAAGGAGAAACCAAGGAAATCTCGTCGGCTACAAATAACGGTTCATCCTTTGGTCTGTCGCCATCTCAAGTCAGTGAAACTTGGTGGAAGGGTGCCAATGGCCACCCTGTCCATGCCTGGGTTATTAAGCCCTCCAACTTTAAACCAGGCGGAAAATACCCTCTGGCATTCCTTGTCCATGGTGGCCCCCAAGGAGCATGGAACGATCAGTGGAGCACTCGATGGAACCCTCTAATCTTTGCCGAGCAGGGATACGTGGTCGTCACACCAAACCCCACCGGAAGCACTGGTTATGGACAAGGCTTCACTGATGCCATTAGAGGGTCTTGGGGTGGCCTACCTTACGAAGATCTAGTCAAATGCTTTGAACATATTGAAAACAATCTCACCTTCGTGGACACTGACCGGGCTGTCGCCTTGGGCGCATCGTACGGTGGATTCATGATGAACTGGATTCAGGGACATGAGCTGGGAAGGAAGTTCAAGGCTTTGGTCACTCATGATGGAATTTTCAGCACTAAATTCTCCCTGGCCGCCGAGGAGCTGTACTTCCCTATTCATGATCTCAATGGGATCTACTGGAAGAACCCTGAAAGCTGGATAAAATGGGATCCCTCCGAGTTCATCAATGAATGGAAGACCCCTCACCTTGTCATTCACAGCGAGCGTGACTACCGACTTACAATCGCTGAAGGCCTTGCTCTTTTCAACGCACTTCAGCTGCGTGGCGTGGAGAGTGCCCTTTTGACATTCCCGGATGAGAACCATTGGGTCATTAAGCCCGAGAACTCCTTGCTCTGGCACAGAGCTGTGATCAACTGGATCAACAAATATGCAGGGCTCCCCCTATGGCTTGAGAAGGAGGGCAATAACTGTTTCCCGGAAGATCTGACTCCAATGAAATAACCACTCCAGCTGTCCTCTAAGCCCTGTTAATACGCACCCTACCATATATTTTTTCGGAATAACATGCTGCAAAAGATAAGATTACAACAGGTTTAAGTCCAGACCAAGTAGAAATGAGATATAATATGTTTTTTTGTCTTCTCTAGTAATATACAGGTTCTCAACAAGGAAGCCTTGTCTGCCGGCAGACGAGTACAGTCATAAAGCCATAAACACATAAAATCATAACGTCATAATGTCATGTCCATAAACATCCTGTAATTCCCCCAAGGTCGTTGCATCAAATAGTCATGTAGCCGATGGCATGTTGGCAAGGTAGTATATGAGAGCCACTATTGTCTAGTCGTGGCAGTTGTTCTTCGGTGAGTCGAAGACGGTTGGACTTGGCTCTGCGGGTGTGGAACGTGCTAAGAGCCGCTATCCGCTGTTTCGGAACAGTCATCCGTAAAGCTTAAAAAAGCATATCTAGAAGATGATATCACACAGAGCAAACACGTCAGTTGAAACAGTTCGAAGCTGGCGGGAGAGAAAGGGAATGAAAGAACATACCTTGCTTTTGGGAATAATCCCGCCTTTATTCCCCCCCAGAATACAGTGTTTTTTTGTTTTTTGTTTTTTGTTTTTTGTTTTGTTTGAAGGCGCATGCATACAGTGTAATCACAGTGGTGTCGAACTTCGCACTGTGCGATCATTGTATCGACGCTGGGAGAGAGTAGTAAACGGTTAGCAAGTGATTAGATCAAGTATGAGAGGATATGATAACTGAATAGCATACCTAGAAGCGAAGGCACACGCGCCTTTATTCCTTTTTTTTTTTAAGTTGGTCTCGGTGTATGCGTATCTGATCTTCGTGATCCATCTTTGGATCGAGGACCTCTTTGAGGCCAACTCCTTGCTAATCTCGGCCGCTCGGGCCGCTCTCGCCTGTTGACTAACGAGAGCTTGTTCGACGTATTGTTGGTATGCCACTTCGCCGAAAGTGGCTCGGATCGACTCCGCCTCTGGGGTAGAGCAAAGGAAGTCGAAAAAGGGGGTGTCCTCGGTTCGGTTGAGGGAGTCGGCGAGGGAACCGATTGTGGGCAGGACGTGAGAAGGACCACAAGTGTACATTTGCGTGTATGCCATACTGGCAGTGACAGGCGGGTAGACGTGATAAGATATATGTACAGGTATAAAGTATCACGGGCACACCAATTGACGAGTGTGCGGATCAGCAAGAAGGTAAAGCAAGTGGGTGGGCGACACACGCACAGGAGAGCAATACGGGGAGAAAAAAAAGAGGAAAAAGAAGAAAGGGAAAGGAAGACAGAGAGGAAAAGATGGGGTTTATATAGGCGGTTTTGACAAAGTTGCTGAATATCTGGAACCGGCGTCATATATTCCTAATCGGGATATCGAACCAGTGGTTGGTGTCATAGTCGACGTCAGTTTGGAAGCTCATGGAAGCGAAACGGTGGCGGATATTGAGGAATAGGAGTAGGCAGACGGTGATGATGGGAGAGGTAGGGGTAGAGGTAGGGGGCCAGGAGCGTGAGAAGGGGGGATAGGGGAGCAGGTTAGAACAGATATTGATAGTATAGTAGAACAGGATATTGTATTGGTATATCCAGGAGACCTGGTGCTAGCTATTGTACATAGTGATGGCAACGTAGGCACTGGAAGAGACCACGGAGGTGTTGGATAAGTAGTATATGGCCATGTAGGTAAATGGTATAGCGGCCACAGGATATTTCGTAGCTATACAGACGGATATACCTATGAGTCGTAGTGATATAGCTGTGTAATAAGCGGTGGAGGTGGAGCTGGAGTTTGATGCTCTTGTTGGGATAAAGTAGGTAGTCGAGGAAGGCTGCGGTGGAGCGTCAGAGAGTAGGACGGCCGGTCTTTTTATGTAGACTCTTTGCTTGTAGCGGAATATGGTAGAGATAGAGAGTCAGGCAGTCCGTGTGAATGTTCTCCGGGTCGTGATAATGCCTGTGTTGGCCCGTTAATGAGCGTATCTGCACCTGCATTACGGTGGCCCAAGGAAGGAGAGACCCTCTGTGGCGGCATCAGTATAGCAGCAAACAGCCTCTTGATGGTGAGATACGTTGAGCTTCACGACTTCTAGTGTGATAAGAGAGGAAGAATACGCATCAGGCGATCTTTCTGCCGATGTTTCCTATACCCCTTCCCACGACACTGAGAATTATCTCGCCGTCGTCAGAGTCAGGGGCGTCTCTCACACCCCATCCGGCGGCCCCAAGCTTGCTCAAATCCCTGGCAAGACGGACAACGGTTTCATCAGAGACGACATCACGGCCGACCTGCAGACGTCCTACGTCCTCTGAACCCATAGACATGAGGGTGAGCATAGTCGGAGCCGCAACTTTGGACACACAGCCACCGGTAGCAATCGACTCCAGCAGCTGATATGCACACTGCTTCCCAATATCTTCTGGAGGCTGTCCGCCAGAGGGTGGAGAGGCTACATCAGCAGAGTACAGACAGCCGGTGGACGATTCGGCTACGAGAGAAAGACCAAAACCCACGCCTATCTTCTTCTTAGCAGCAGGGTTATTCCTCTCTGGAGCAGGGACCAAGGGAGCAGATGAGACGTCAGAGAAGATATAGGTATCAGATACGAAGGGGTTGAGGACCCCTCTAGCCACATCAATCATGCGTGCGTTATTGCTACCAGAAACGCCAGTTGAGTACGCTACCCCACGGATCTTCTTTACTCTGCCGGGATTCAAGAGATGCAGGGTCTTGGGAAGGCGAACTTGGTGGCCGAAAACAAGCTGCACCTCCCCGCCGCCTCCCTTCCCATTAGGCCCAGGGTTTGACCTCCGCAGCACACGCAATTCAACGTTGTTGGAAATACCAAATTGAGCATAGAGCGGGAGAATCGCTGTCCGCACGCTATCGACGGACATATCACCCGATGGGGTAGAGGAGGTGATGACGCCAGGGCCGGTGAAAAGGACATTCACGGGGGCCTTGGAGAAGGGGGCAAGGAGGCACAACGGGAGCAGAAAGTAGCTGACTCCGCGAGTGCATCCAGCCGGCAGCTCATGTGTAACTACGCCGCGGCTTGCGCCCACTCCAGCAGCACTACCCGTGATCAGGCCGGGTTTATAGAGCAAGATGGTGCCTGTGTAGGAGACTTCGAGGTGGGAGCCATTGGTGACTGCTTCCAAAAGGCGCAGAAACGAGATTTCGTAGGGCGTCAGGCCGGGATTGAGGGAGGCCGAGCGGATCTGGGAGACGTGAATAGCCCTTCCGGTGATGGTCGACAGGACCAGGCGAAGGGCAAGACCTTCATGGCCAGTGAAGCGCACCGGGGGCTGTGAGGTGGCGGCCATTATATCAGGTAGACGAGGCCAATTCGATCCCTATCGAGACATCTCCTTGCGTTGTCTTCGCTGCCTTTATCTAATTCCACAAGATATCAAGCATTCGCAGCAAACATCAACAAATATCAACAAATATCAACAAATATCAACAAACAATCAATATTCAACCTCGCTGTCCGTCGTCGTTTTTGAATATCAAAGAAAAAAAAAAAAATATCAAAAAAGAAAAAAAAATCCCGGAGAGGATAAACTTTCCGCCGAGCCGAGGCTTTTTATTTTCTTTTTTTATTTTTTTATTTTTATTTTTATTTCTTTCTTTTCTTTCGCGGGACAAAAAAAAAAAATCGGAAAAAGCAAAGAAAATAAAAAAAAAAAGATCCGGAGGAGAAACGAAGAAAGCGAACCGAGAGAGAGTCATAAAAAGTCCGAGTCCTTGCGTCGTCGCTGCTGGTCTCTTTTTGTATAAAGAGAGAACCGGCCCGGGTCCTGACATGCGAGCGCCTGGCGCGGAGAGACGTCTGCTCAGGGTGTAGATGGGATGTGCTGGCCTCGCCTCGCGTGCCTGAACTACTACAGCTTCTTAGACGGCGTCACAGCACAGCACAGCACAGCACAGACGAATAGAAGAATACTTGATATACAACGATGTTGCCTCCTGCATTGAACATCCCCAAGTGGTACGTCTGCTGAAAGACTCCCCGAGACTGCCGGATGGCGTCTGGTGCCTGTTTGCTGACCTCTCCCCCCCCCTCCCCGAATGTGCAGGCTGAAGGAGAACGGACATCTTCTCAAACCGCCGGTTAGCAACTACTGCGTCTACCACCCGTCGTCCAAGGCCACGCAGGGATACACGGTCATGGTGGTGGGCGGGCCCAATACCCGGACCGACTACCACATCAACAGCACGCCGGAGTTCTTCTACCAGCACAAGGGCTCGATCGTGATCAAGGTGGTCGACACCTCCACCAGCCCGCCGACCTTCCAGGACATCCCCGTCCACGAGGGCTCGCTCTATCTCCTGCCTCCCAACACCCCGCACTCGCCCGTCAGGTTCGCGGACACGGTGGGCGTGGTGCTGGAGGTACCCCGGCCCAAGGGTGCCAAAGACACGCTGCGCTGGTACTGCAGGGAGTGCAAGAGCATCGTCTGGGAGAAGAGCTTTGTCTGCACCGACCTGGGCACCCAGCTGAACGGCATCATCGACGACTTTGCTAACGACGAGAGCAAGCGTGAGTGCAAGAAGTGCGGGTGTCTGG